TGTTAACTACTTTGCTCTTTTATAATGTTTAGCTGCCTCACTTTGCCTCGACGCTTAGCGTCATGATGGAATATCATCATCATTACAGACGTTAGCTGCAGGTGGAAAACACGTCAGCTATTGTGCCGCAATAAAGAGAAAAGAAAAAGAAACATGAGACGGAGGTACGCCAGCTGAGTCACCAGCAACGGGTAGACACTGTTCCAGAGAGCCAACAGCCAGCTATTGTGCCGTAAAAAAAGTTATATTGTGCATAATAAATGATATGGTGGTTGGAGTGGGAGGCTAAGCGGCACGGAGAGGGGCAAAGAAATTCAAATACAAACTCTATTGAGGTCGACTCCTAGCTATGTCAGCAAGTGTATCAAGCCAAACGTGTTGATCGTCCTTCGGTCCCCAACCAGGGAGCCGACAGGCTCCAATCGAGGCCAACTTCGAGGTAAGGGCCTTCATTCCTCCTGACCAAGTCATTGTTTGGCCACCCCTCCTCTTCTTCCATCCACAACCCCGGCGCGCAAACAACGCACGTCGCGGAAGTCGGTGAGCTGGCATGCGCAACACGTGGTCCAGCCAACGGAGCCAGGTGCGTGAAATAACGGTGCTGAGCGGTTCGCTTCTTCTTCCTGCGTCATAAACAAGGCGTCGAACACGCTCATTGCTCACACGGTGTTCCAACCAGATGTGAGCCAAACTGCGAAGGCACCGGTGGTCGAACGTAACTAGCCTTTTTATGTCCGCTGATTTAATGGGCCAGGTTTCACAATCGTGCAGTCGAGTCGAACGTGCGGCTGCAATGTACACTCTACCCTTCAGGCCAAGAGTGATGTCGCGCCGCCGCCATATGTGGTAAAGATTAGCAAAAGCGCTTCGAGCATTTGCTATGCGGTTTTTTGATCTAGTCAAGGATTTTAACGGCTTAATACAACTGCCTGGGTAGTTGAACTTTTGAACGACTTCTAGCTGAGCTTCACCAAGGATCAGCGCAGGAGGCGGTCCCTGCAAATCTTGGAAGCAAACTTTACGCTTTGAGGGTGCAAAGCATAGCCCGAAACGGGAGACAGCCAGTGCTAATCTTTCCAGTTCAGCTTGGCAAGTTCGGGAGCTGTCACAGATTAGGGCAATATCGTCAGCATATTTCAAGTGAAGAAGTCATTCACTTGTGAGCAGCTCCACACCTAAGTCGTGTCCTGTGAACGCGATCTAAATGAATTCGTCTATAGCGAAGTTGAAAAGGTGACAGCAGGCATCCTTGTCTATACCGCTGGAGATATTCAAGGGCGGCGACAGTTTACCGTAAACCTCACTCTGCCTGAGCTACGCGCGTAAAGCGTCCGGATAATATTTACATATTTCTGGGCACACCTTTCCTTAGCAGACAGTCCCAAATGGTACATCAGTCAACCGAATCGAAGACACCTTGGATGTCGAGGAACACGATAACAATGGGTCGCCAATATATGTGACGGTGCTCCAATAACTGAGAGAATGAGAATTTGTGGTCGATGCAGTCGTGACTTCTACGAAGCCCGGCTTGCTCCTCACGAACCTGGGTTTCACGATCGCCAGTCAGTCTGTGAAGGATTACAGAGGCAAGTAATTTGGAGGCGATGGGGATCAGACTGATTATTCTGTAGTTGCCGCATTCCGAACGTGAGCCTACCTTGAAGATCCGGACAATAACGGAGCGGTTCCAGTCGGTTGGAAGCTTCCTGCTCCCACAGTTTCACTAGTAATTTATGTAAATCATCAACAAGAGCAGGGCCCCCGAATTTGAAGAGCGCTGGATGAAGATCATCCGGTCCCGCGACCTTATTCATCATCAACAGTCTGATCTCATGTTGGAATTCTGAGCGGGAGAGCGGATCCAAACGGACAGCCAACGGAGCAGGGCGATCACTGGCCGGTGAGGAATCGAACAATTCCGACCGATTAAATTGCTTTTCAAAATGCTCAGCCCAACGCTCCAAACGTTTTGACAAGTTGTGGATAGGCTGTCCACTCTCGTCACAAATTGTTTCACTAACACCAGGTCTCCTGCTGCCCGTTTCCCGTATCAGACGGAATAACTTTCGATGGTTACCAAGGGCAGCGGCCACTTCCATCTCTGACGCACGAAGAGACCACCAGGATTCGCGGTCTCTCTTCAGGCTAGCACGGAGTTTTGCCCGGAGCTCTTTGCGAGTTTCATTGTGTTCGCTTCCAGCCGGAATGTGCCGGCGAGCATCGATAAGTTCCAGAGACTGCGAAGAGACCCAATGTCCATGTTGGCTATTAGACTTACCACATGAGGATTTGCCTGCTGCTAGTAAGGTCTGGTGAACATGCGACCAGTGACCTTCAATTGTCTCCAGTGAGCGCTTACTCAACTCGCATGTCAGCGTACTTTGATACGCATTCAGAACAGCTGGCTTCGCCAGTTGACTGGTGTCAATGCGCTCACAACGTCGTCGTGGGCGTCCGCCAAAACGCATCCGCAGGTCAGCACATACAAGTGCATGGTCAGTGTCCACACATGTGCTCTAAATCGAGCGACAGTTCTGGATGCAGCCTCTCAATCGGTAACTTATCGCAATGTGATTGATTTGCGTCTATAGCTGGTTCGAGACTGGTGGGCGCCAAGTCACCCTCCGACGGGTGCTGTGTCGGAAGTTAGTGTTTGCAAGAAGTAAGCGGGCATCTTTATACACATGAAGCCACCGCTCGGCGTTATCATTACGGGGGCGTGCAAAATGTTGGCCGCCTAGATGCAGCTCATCAGTGGACAATTTCCAAACTTGAGGGTTCAGATCCCCAACCAGGACTACAGCGTCCGTGCTTCTTCTGTAGCATAGGAGCTCGTTCAGTTGGCGATAGTAGTCGTCTTTTACCGAGTCATGGCTAGTCTGTGGGGGCGTAAGCAGCGGTGAGAAACAGACAGCGATTAGCCCCGCGCGACTTCGAAGCTTTGAACGAACCAGCCAGTCAAATCGCACAAATCCGGCTACTGATTCGGATCCAAGCAACCAGAGCAGCTTCAACCCGGGGACTCAAGGTAATACCCAGACTGACATGGCCGGTACTAGAAGCTGCATCGTTTCCGAATAGGTGCAATGAGATTCACTGCTAGCGTCACTTGAAAAGGATCGCAAAGTGAGTACAAAGCTCGGGTCTTGTAAGTGGGTTTCCGATAGGCAACTGACATCGATCGAGAGTGTCTCTAATGCTCGGGCAAGTGCTACCTGTTGACCGATCTGTAACAATGTGCGTACTTTCAGGCATGTCCATCTGAGGGATGAACTGAGGCTCCAAATGGGAGCCGATGGATTGGGTTTGAGCGCTTGGTTAGACATGGGCTTGTCGATAGGGCAAGAATGACGCTCCGCGTTTGCATGCGGGTTGAAACTAGAAGCTAAACACTAGAAGCCAAACAAGCTAGAAGCTAAGCTAGCTAAGCTATAAGCTAGGCTTATAGGCCTATATAAGGAACGGAGTGGTTACTGACAGTATCCATTATTGGGTTTGCTTTCTACCAGCTACTGCTACTTCACTGCTATCAATCCCGCACTGAAGATGCCACCTCGAATGGTGGCGAAACGTCTGCAACCAAGTTGCCCAGCTCGGAGAACTCCACAACAACTGAGCTCGATCTGGTTGTGTGAAGCCCTGAAATAGTCAAGCTATGGTGTGATAAAAAATTGGCCGGAAAACTTGTAGTCTCTGTAGGTGGAGCTCTTGTGATCGACCGCCTCAATGGCTAAAAATTTAATCAAAAGTGATGCAGCCAAAAATTCAGGAGTAGTAGTGTTATCGTTCCACTACTTTTGATTCTTTACTAACTCAGAGGGTTTCGATTTTTCGACTGTTTCTTTGTAGTCTCGTTTTCCAATCTGTGTAGTACGACTATATCTTTTGACCATGTAAGCCAAGGCTGCTGGATACACCGCACTTCAGGGAACGGATCAAAGTTGATCAACTCGATGTATTGTGAGCCTCGGTTGTTCCGTGTCACTTGCCTCAATCACCATCTAACGCAAACTCAACATAGTGTTAATGGGTATTGCTAATGTAGATATTTTCAAAAACGCCGCATATGCGACACTCGAGGGCATTAAGATAACCAACAGATATGAAGATGCCAACGATCCGGTGAGAGTAGAAACGGTATTTTTAATAGGGGCCTGATCACTTGGTATGACGTGATATGTTGTGGACTAGCGGATGAAGATGATGAATTCACGAAAAACAGGTCCCAGCACTGATACGAATAACTGGTTAGCATACATCCACTGAGTTGATAGGCGTGGAATCAAGAAAAGGTAAAAAAGGAGATGGCTGAAGAAACATACAAGATAAAGGTTACCTAGACAAGTTCGCGTTGCGGTGTGAACCAGAAGATTCATGATAACTGCGTAGTATACACCACAATTAGGAACGCGACAGTTTCAACGAAGGGGTCTTGTTACAGAAAACCGGGTATCATTTGGACAGTAATTGTTATTTCAAAACGCGACGACTAGATAAATTTTAGAAAAGGAGACGACGAAATAGGATGAAGTACCTCAATAGGTTCAAATATGTCGGTCAAATGTGGAATATGTATTATCAGACAAGTGGGCCCCTGTTATCAACTTTGTGAGTAATGGTGATAGCAGACATATTTGGTAGCCAATCTGTTCCCTTAAACCGTGAGTCCGGACAATGCAGCGCATAGTATGAGCTCAGGTTTGCGCTATTGAAGAAAAGCTTCAGATGGAGACCGCATCACCCACAATACAATGCCAGAGAAGGCAAAAATAAGTGAAACGTGGAGATGATAGCCTGTTAATCAGATCGATGTTGACGAACTAGAGCATAACTTGAACCCAGACAGACTGCAGTGGCAGTGAGTTCCGGCGACGGGTAAGACAACATTAACGAACGACATACACCGGCGTCCGAGGAGGGGGGGTTAGATTCAGACCCGAAGACGGCTTATCTCTAATTGATGACAATCATTCGGAAAATGTTCATAAGAAACCAACCTTGGGTGTGGGCGAGGTAACTGCCCTCATTATTATGGAGAGTGAGGCAAAGTTTGCACTCGTAGGTTCCCAAATGATTTTTCATAAAATACGGATCCTTCGCCAGGTCAATTGTATCCAAAGCCAATTGCCTTAACCGTTCCCTTCGGTCACGATTTGCTTCTGCCTCCGAGGCGACCCCACCAGAGCCGGTCTTACCACCAACACGGTGCTGAAAATCCATCAGTGATGCGAAGTGTACTGATCTGAGTAGAAGTACAGGCAAATCTGAAGCGCTAAAACGGAGAAATACAAGACTCCGGCAGTATTCCTACAATGGGTGGAAAAGATTGCAGGTCCAAATCGACCCCATTGATTATCGGGATAACAACAAGGTACGTCTATGTATCACAAAAGCGAGAAAAAAAGGAATAGAATAGAATACAACTGGGAGATCAGTCAAGTTTAGACGGAGCACCAGAGGATCCCAATAAGAGCTAATTTTCAGTAGTACCGGTGCTGGGTAAACGTGTCAGCTGTACGCCGTAACGGCGCTCCGCTGCCGCGCGACCACCATCAGTCGCGCGCGGGCTGGGTATACCGCGAGGACGCCCACCCCTACGCGGATCCGAACCGGTGATCTTATGGTTGCAAACCAAACGTGCAGACCACTCGGCCACCGGCCGAGTAAGTTTTTGTGGAAGTTACATAGAAGCATGAAGTTGCAGAAGTCGGGTGCCTGTTTGAAGGATATTGCTACACGATTCGGCCAACAAATGGGTGTCGTCCGCGATGCAGCCGGTGGTCCAGGGTAGTGCTTACTCGAGGAATGTGTATGACGTTCCAACTGATGGTCTGGAGGAACACTAATGAAGCCTGTTGCATTGGGAAACACTGCGAGAGAGTGTAATCATACGGGAAACAAATTTGGTCAGTTCTGTGCCATCGAAATGCTCACCGAAAGCGGACAAGGATGTGTGTGCACGGTTTTGGATATGAAGACTTTAAGCATGAGGAATTGATGCAGCTGGAGGTGATGTGTATGAGCAGGATGTGCGAAGCTGGACGTGGTGAAAAGAGCTAGGTTGCCACAGCCTCAGTGGAGAGTGATTCCAGTAGGATTGTTATCCAGCAAGGGATCCACAAAAGGGTCACACTCGCAAGAAGGACATTTTCCAGGCCTACCATGATGACGAATAGTTTCGGGGAGAGTTTGAGCAGTCAAGTGGTTAGTACAAGAAGCGCGAGCCGAAGGAATGTATGTATGTATTAAATAAATTTCTCTTCAAATAATTTATATATGCATTCCTTCCGCACATGGCTTCCGAAACAACCGACCAATGACTGCTCAAACTTTTCCCGACAGTACACGTCATCACGGAAGGTATAGAAAGTCCCTTTCTTTCGAATGCCGCCCTTTTTATTTTACGAACAGATTCAGATGGACTGGAACGATAGGAAAATCCCTTGAGTGTTCCTTCTTGAGCTGATCGTTGAGCCAGGAAATGATAAGGTGCTAGGAGATCATGATGGATCTAAAACGAAACACCCGAAACACACCCTGGTCAACCAATTACTGCCCACGTTCCCTGCACTGGCAGTCCCCGCTGTGTAGGTCACGTGAAGTAAGAAAGAAGTAGAAAGTAAATGGAAGATAAAGCGGAATGGAGGTCATGTAAATGAAGGATAACACCAAAGAGTGAAGAGAATGACAGAATATGAACTAAAAGTTGAAAGATAGATATGGTCAGGAGAAGGGAAAGGTTTCGTGTTGCCACCCAAGAGCGTCTAACTGACGCTCGAAACCCTTAACCGTAGATTCACTGACTACACTTTCTGGAAGCGAGTTTTAGCGTTCGATAACTCTACGCGATAACCGAGTTTCCGCCCTGATCCGTCAGAACGCGGCTTGTGTAGCTTCATGGGATGACCGCGAAGACAAGGCAACTTAGCCGGGCTAAATAGCCAGCTCAAGTCCGGTCCAACCTTCCCTGTTAAAATGCGGTAAGTAAGGATTAGGTCTCCTCGAAGCCGTCGGTAGTGCATTGAATACATACCCAAGCTATATAGACGCTCGGGGTACGATTGCCCAAGTAACCCCACGACCAATTTGGTACCTACTCTGAAAACCCTCTCGAGCTCCATTTTGTCCCGAACAAGGCAGGGCGGGCAAGCCTGGACGCAGTGTTCCAGATGGGGCCGAACGAAAGCTGAGAACAGTTTCACAAATATGTCGGCAATTAAGACCCCGAAAGAACGGCGTATTAAACATAACATTCTGAAACCCCTACTTGCGGCCTTCTTTTAGTTGTCACCAGAATGCAAACACGAGGAATGGAGGACGCCTAGGTCTACATGGTTGGAGACAAGGGGGAGTTCGACCCCAACGAGTACGTAGCTCGAAAGCGGGAAAGTTGCTCCAATACGAAGGACGGAACACTTAGCCTGATTTATGGGCAGTAGCCACAAAGTAGACCAGTCCCAGAGTCTGTCCAGGGCATGCTGTATGGCCTCAGAACCCCCATGAACATTTACAACACTCCATAGGTTAAGGTCATCAGCAAACAGTAGGGATGATACCCCAAGATCTCCAGGGAGATCGTTTACGTAGATAGAGAATAGCATCAGTCCAAGGACCGAGCCCTATGGGACACCGCTAAGGACCGCTTGCCTTGCAAGAACGCATATACCCAGTGAAGGGCGCGGCCAGATACGCCGTAGGAGCTCAGCTTTTGTGATAGCCTCAAATGGGGTGCCTTATCAAATGCTTTCGAAAAGTCTACGAAAAGCACATCCATTAGGTGGTCACGGTTTATTGCCTCGGCCCAAGCTTCACGAGCAACCAACAAATTCGTCAGACACGAAAACCCCTTCCGGAATCCGTGTTGTGCACTCCTGAGTAGACTAAATCTATTCAGGTGACCTTCCAACGAATCTCTAACCAGTTTTTCAAGCAGTTTGACCACGACGCTAGTCAGACTGACTGACCTATAATTGGCTGACAGACTCCTGTCGCCATTTTTGAAGATAGGACAGATGACAGCCTCCATCCATTCAGAAGGTAATGTACAGCTGTCAAGTGACTTCTGAAACACCATCGTCAGCGGTCCACTTATTTCCACCGCCAACGCAGTGGATACCACTGCGTTAAGGAATATAACGCTGCTATCCATGAAAAAATGACCTAGACTGAGTGTATTTACCCCACGGGTTTTGGAAGTTAGATGAACAGCAACCGGCTTAGCCGCAGGTAATGAGACTGGGCGCAAGTTATCAGACGACACTGAAGCAACTGTAGCGTACGTCTTACGCTCCATCTTGTTTGTCCCGTCATTCTTGACGCTTTTCGTACCCGCCTAAAGAGTACGCGCAGTTCTGTTCCGATTTTTCTTTCGTCCTACAGGCGAAGAAGCCCGTAGCTCAACGTCCATGCCCGTCTCCATGACCTGTACCCCCGGAAGAGAGGATGAGGTGTTTGGAGTAGGCACCGCAGTTCGACTAGCACGCGATGGGGACATCTAGGGTTTTTCACCCCCTGCCTACACAACCTTAGGTGAAACTGAGGGAATTTCATTACCAGGTGGTGTTTCCCGTGCAGGCGGTTGCATCTTAAACGACTTCTCACCTCTCGGTTTGGGCGGGGAGAGTTTGCGCACTTTCCTTGGCCTCTTTTGCCTATACTTTTCTGGCCCAGGAGCCAGTGACTCGACCTCCATTTGTGGAGGGTCAACAATGCTGTTCGAGGCATATGAGTCAGTTATCTCAATGTGTACTGGAGCGTCCGGTAAGATGAACGACCCATCAACGGATGGACTGTCAGTAGGGGGACAGTCCGCTACAGAGTCCTCATTTGTAATACTAAGGTATTTGATAACCAAACCCACTTTAGAGTTGAGCGAGGCAAGCCCGACTAACGCCTTCTCAAGCACTGTGAACCTGGATGCCAGTGCTTTAAATTCAGCACAGATGATAGTCGGGTGCTTCGCTTTCTGAGTGCAGCAATCAGCACATCTAAACAGAATGTTTTCACTGGCTGATAGCATATCGTACTGATTCGCTCGGAGGCCGGCACAACCTTTGTGATACCAGCGGAAGCAAAGGAGGCTCCGATCGCGGAACCGTGTTGCGCATGTCAACACGCCGACTCCCAGAACGTGTGTTATTTGCGCGACCGGGGTGTGGATGGAAAAAGAGGAGGCCAACCAACAACATGGATAGGAAGAATGAAGTCCCTTACATCGAAGTCGGCCTCCATTTGGGCCTCTCGGCTCCCTAGTTGGGGTCCGAAAGACGATGAAGGCGTTGGGCTAATACACTTGTTAAAATTGCTAAGAGCCGGCGTACATTGGGACACTGTATTTAATGGGAATCAAAGCTCAAGCTTTACATGATCCATAGGGTAAAAAGAATTCGAGTCAGGTTTAATGAAAGGCCAATCAACCTTATAGCGGGTTGGACTCGCGTGTTAACCGTATCTTCATCGGGCTTATGCGGCATTTAAACAGAATGCACGCCGGCTCAAAGCGTGACATCCCACTACACCCTCAGAAACGGCTATGGAAAGGAATTAGGTAGATGAGAAACAAAGGAAAGAAACTCCATCAAGTAGAAGGTAGTTATATCGGGGAATATCGCGGTGCAGCTCGGCCAGATGACAGTCCAGGCGAGTCTTAAAATCCGTCACAGTGGGTGCCAAGACTAAATCGGCAGGCAGAGCATTCCACGGTGGACAGATTCGTAAAGCGAAATAGTGTCGTCTGCAGTTCAGCCGACTGAGCCGATGTGTGAGCCTCAGTGGGTGGCCACGTAGGTGAGAGCACGATTGGTGCAGTGTGAGTAGGTGGCGACAGGGATGTCCAGGGTTGGAGAAGATCATAAATACAAGGACCAGGTCGCCCCGTAGACGTCGATACTTAAGCAGGTAGAGACCCAGGCAGTGAAGTCGTTGTGAATAATGTAAAGATAATAATAAGATAATGTGTCAGCTGTACGCCGTAACGGCGCTTCGCTGTCGAGCGAACACCATCAGTCGCGCGCGGGCTGATTATACCGCGAGGACGCCCACCCCTACGCGGATTCGAACCGGTGACCTTATGGTTGCAAACCAAACGTGCAGACCACTCGGCCACCGGCCGACTGTGGATAAGGTAGATGCTTGAGACCTCGGACCAGTTTTGTTGCTCGACGTTGTGGAGCTTCGAGTATGCATTGGTCCTTCAACAACCAGGGGCTCCAAGCCTGAAAAAACTATAAGTGGGGTCGAAGAAAAGCATTGAGGAGGAGACGGAAATTGCTGG